CCCAGCCCCAATACCTTGTTTTTATTTGGTGCTGAGGATAGAACCCAGTGCCTCACACATGCTAGGCAAGCACTTTACGACTCACTGAGCCACAACCCCAGCTTGAGCTTCAGTTTTTAAAGTCTGAAAACACTTAGACCTTCCTCCAAGATTTGAGGTCTATTTTCCTTCCTGACTCCAGGTCTGGTCATAGAAGGTTCTGGGCTCTATCCAGCTTGCTGGCTTTGCTCTTAGAGCCCACTTGTAAGGAGTTTTACTCCCCTGAGACCACCACTTTGAGAGGACACACAAAGGTCCTGTGTTAATGGTCCCCCAAAAGCCCAGCCTTTTGGTGGCCCCTGCCTAAGTGCCTGGCACATGAGTGCAGAAGCCTTAGTGGAAGTAGATATGCCAGCTCTGGCTGCCACCATGTGGAGTAGAGACAAACCACATAGTTAGAGCCCCTCCTGAATTCCTGACTACAGCCTTCAGGTGTACAGAATGGCTGCATTACATTGCAAAGTTTTTGGTGTCATATTAATGTAGTCACAGACAACTACAACAGAATGAAACCAAATGACCCAATTTCTCAATATTATACATCTATAAAAATACAAATATAAGCATCTCTCAGTCATACTTGTCCTATGTAAATATCCCAGTGTCTTTCTTCTATACCATTTAAGTTTTTTTCTGTTTGCGTGACAGTGAGAATTCCTGGCCTGTCAGTTTCATCTGTCTTCACAGTCTATAGTGAAGTCATGGCTTGATGTGCGAGCCATCTTGGCCTCATGAAGGAGGCCCTTGGAGCTCCAGTGCTGCTCTGACATATTTGTGGCAGCAACCAAGTTCCCCCATGTTTACCCATCACATGGAATCTTTTTTCCCCCCCTCGTGGTAGCCAGGATCAAACTCAGGGCTTTACACACACTAGGTATGTGCTCTACCCCTGAGATACATCCCTAGGCCAGCAGCTATCTTTTAAGATAGGGGCCAACACATGTCTCTGTGAAGGGCCAGGTGATAAATGTTTGTGGCTCTGAAGGCCCCATGATCTCTGATGCTGAAATGCAAGGACAGCTGTGGACAGCACACAGGGTGTACTTTACTGACATGTGTAGAGCAGGCAGCAGTGGATGGATGCACTGTTGATCTTAGTGTTCCCCCTTCCCCTGGCCAGCAGGGATGGAATGTGAAAACAGCCCATTTAAAAGCCATGAGCAACTGCCACTCATTTTTTTGTTTTTTTTGGCACACCCATGGCCATGTCCTACTTCTTCTTGGTCCATAGTTTTATTCCTTATTTGCCCTTTGTTGCAGAACCTTAGAATCTTTATTGTAGAGCTAGCCAGTCTTAGCCTGGTGGACAATCTGCCCTGCTCAGCAACAGGTACCTGGCCCTTCTCATCTGTGCCTCTTGCAGGGAAGCAGTTGCTTCCCTGCTGCCTGGCTCCTTCACAGGGGCCCACTAAGAACCAGCACTGGGGATGGGGGCTGAGCAGCAGCTCACAGACCCTGGTAAGCTAACAGTGAGAGGGAAATCTCAGAAGGGCCTCACCTGCTGAGTTTCCCAAGAGGACTTTCATTCCTAAGGTAGATGTGGAAACCACTCACAGGAAGGGCATGCTGGAAAACCTGGTATGAAGAGGTGAGTCCAGGTAGACCCTGGAGCAGCCGCTTCTTCCCAGAGCTGTGGAGCTGGTGGGGCTCATGGCTTGGCTGGATAGTTCGCCTGCACAGGGCACAAGTGCACAGCAAGTTCAGCTTTAATGTTGTCATCAGTGCAAGCTTGTTTTCTGCCACGCTAGGTTTCCACATGAAGTTATAGCTAGTTGAGAATCAAGCATTTCTAAAGAACCCCCTGAAGGGATGTTTGCTCTTTGTGCAAACAGTCCTTTTGTGCAGAGGGAATTCTGCAGCTTCTTGGCAGACACAGATGGGAAACACCTGAGTGAACATCACTGCCTGAGGAGTGTGGAGACACGCACCTCACGCCAACATTGCAAGTCCTAGGCTGTGGTGGTGGCTTCCCTGGACACATTGCTTTGGGAGTCCTTCCTTGGATAATTTCATGGTGTCAACTGACTCCTTAGCATCCAGGTGTTGAGCCCAGGCCATCTGTAAGGTCACCTGTGGCAAAATGCAGGGTCTGGAGTACCTATTCCCAGAGTTCATGATTAGGATCCTGTCTGGGACACTTGGGGGCGGGGAAGAAGAAAGCATTCCCAGGGCCATTTGTCAGAGAGGGACAGCATAATACTGGATAAGTGTTGCCCACCTGCTGGGTGGATAATGACTGCATCCATGGGGCTGAATGAGTGGCACATGGTAGCACTGAATATTAAGGTAGGAGGCCCTTGTTACTGGTAGCAGATTCCTCTAGAGGTAGAACCTTACCAGGTAGACATGCCAGAATATGCCTTGGTGCCCCTGTCTGGAGCTGCACACCTTCTTCTGTTCCTATGAGGTGCCCCTACCCTATACCAGAGGTGGGAGCTGGGGATGTTGGATCTCTCTTAGAGCTCATCAGCTCTGCAGCCTATCTGAACCCCACCTGGGGCACCCAAGTCACTGAACAGACTATCCCAAGACCACTCCTGCTCACTGTGAAGATACACTACTATTCACAGTGTACTGATGAGAGGGGCCTAGGGTCCTGGGTCAACACCATGGAGCTGTGAGCTCTATCCTACAGCCACAGGATCTGGGTTTGAATAGGAGAGGAGCCCAGGCTGCCCTGACTGCAGCCTTGTGAGGCCCTGAGCAGAGGATGACCACACCACGACTGTGTTCCTGACCCACAGAAACTCTTCCAATAAGAACATTATGGAGCTGGGTGCAGTGGTGCACACCTGTAATCCCAGCAGCTTGGGAGGCTGAGGCAGGAGGATTGTGAGTTCAAAGCCAGCCTCAGCAATGGCAAGTGAATGCTAAGCAACTCAGTGAGACCTGTCACTAAATAAAATACAAAATAGGGTTGGGGATATGGCTCAGTGGTCAAGTGCCCCTGAATTCAATCCCAGGTACAAAAAAAAAAAAAAAAAAAAAAAAAAAAAGGTAGAATACACCAATCAGACTCAGCACAGAACACAAGAAATGTCTATTGCTACTTCTAAACACCAGTTTTATTTGGTTGTGAGTGGCCTCCCCACTATGTCAAAGAATGTTATGGAAGAACATTTGGAGAGGCAGATAAATGAAATTTGTGCCTCTCAGTTGACAGGCTGGATGCACTGGGAAATGTCTTGCTGCATGAGTGAGGATGGAGTCCAACATACTGACTTCAGGAGCCACCATCCCCAGGCTCATCCCAGGGACACTGCATGGAACTCCAGGTGTCACCTGTGAATCACATTTTCTTTTCTGTTTGCTTAGAAGATAATGCTGATCCACAGTATTGAATCCTCATGGTTTAGCCATTCTGGTTGGTGCAATACTAAAATGATACGAAGGAAATAAGCACTTAAGTTCAAGTCCTAAAGAAGGTTGCTTGGTTAGCAGCTGAAATAGTCAGAAAAGGCATTTCAATATGGAAAGAAAATCACGGGGCTATATTTGCAAAGCTACCTGGATCCTGCAGACCATGTATGCAGAGTATGCAGAAAAGTTGCTGGGCCCTAGGAATGTTTTCCCAGAGCACCACTTTTGTGGGCACATGGGTACATAGTCCTCAGAGAGCAGAAGGGCTCACACCTGTCAGCAGATGTGTACTGACTGCCACTTCCAGGTGTGATGGGGAAAGGAAATAGGTGGCCTGCCCAAGTCCTGTTGTGTAGTCTATCTATATGAGATGGATGACTACCACTAGCCTCTTGACTTCTCAGGAAGGCCTTACTGACTGATCCAGGGAATAGCAGCACCTCTAAGGAAAATAGGCTATTTTTATTGTGATAAATTGGTAACTGGAGAAAATCCACTCTGTGGCATTGGACAGGAGGATATCTGGGCACCAGAACATTACACACATGGCTCAAGTCCATGACCAGACATAAGAACCTGAAGGTATCTCTCCTGCCTAGCAGACTGGGCTTCCACTTTTCAGGCTGTTTCCTTTAAACAGATCAGTCAAATACTTGCCTATAAATTTAAAGCAACTCACGTACTCTTGTCCTATATATACTACTAGTTGTGCTCTTTTTGCCTGACTCTCCATTCCTGTTTTGTATGATCTGGGGATGAAGGACTGTCCTCTTGACTCATTGTACTTTCCTTACCCAGGAGGATCTGAAAGTAATAATTCAGGGTGTGTGTGTGTGTGTGTGTGTGTGCGCACGCGCGTGCACGCGGGGAATCAAACCTAGGACTTTGTACATGCTAGGCAAGCGATCTACCTTTGAGCTACATCCTCAGCCTGAACTTGTTTCCTATCATGGTGAATACTGAATTTGAACCTTACATCAGAAGTACCCAGGGGCTGGGGCTGTGGCTCAGTTTTAGAGCGCTTGCCTAGCATGCGTGAGGCACTGGGTTCGATTCTCAGCACCACATAAAAATAAAATAAAGGTTATTGTGTCTACCTACAACTAAAAACAAATATTAAAAAAAAAAAAAAGTAGTACCAGGGGCTATCCTGGGCTGGGTTTCCTCTAGGGATGCTAGGGCAAGGGGAAGGGAGGGACCCAAAATTAGGTTCCCAGTGCCAGAGCAATGGTCATCAGGTAGGACATAAACTGGACAAACATCAGTCAAGACTCTTGGACTCCAGTGCTCTCATAGAGTTGGTTTCACTGCTATTCCAGGAAGCTCAGCTGAGCAAGCAGAAATCCTGGGCCACCAGCTTTCCACACGACCAGCTATAGTGCTTTGGAGGACATGAATCTGCTTGAAGGGTGGAACACAGCCTACCTTATCCAGCCATACAAAGCTCATGGCTGGTATGCAGGAATAGGACCATATGAAGCATACAAGGTTGAGGGCCTATTCGCTGCCTTTGTCCCCACACATCAAGATTTAGCCACAAGGCCACTTGATGACAAAATGTTGTAATTTTAGGAAACATTGAAAATGATTATGCCAACATATGAAATTAGAATCTTTTATTGTCAAACACTATGGTTTGTATACATAATTTTTTTACTTCAAATATTTGTTGATTATAGCAATTTTCTGTCATGAAATGATTTTCTAAAAATATAAAAATAAAAATATATGAAATGTTAAAAAAAAAAAAAAGATTTAGCCACAAGGGCTAGGGCTGTAGCTCAGTGGTAGGGCACTTGCCCATCACATGTGAGGCCCTGGGTTCGATCCTCAGCACCACTAAAGATAAATAAATAAAATAAAGTCAGTCAGTCAGTCAGTCTGTCTGTCTGTCTATCTATCTATAGTTTCAGCCACAAGACATGATCAGCTAACTGCTCAACACTGCATAGTTCTGACCCAGGCTCCTAGTCAGCAGCCTATTTTACCCTGCTTGTGCCCTTAAGCAGGGGATGTGGGGGTGTGGCTCCATGGTAGGGCACTTGCCTAGCATGCATGAGACAAAAAAAAAAAAAAGCAAGAGCCAGGGACCAGATGCCAGGTATGTGTCTCCGCCAATACCCCCTTTTTACCATCTTTTGTCTCCAGGTGAGATATTGGCAGTCCATGAGCAGCAGCTCTCCTTAGACATTTTGTAAGAGAACATTTCTGCATTTAGCAGATTTCCCATTGACTCACAGCATTCTTATCCTTTGTCTGGAACACATGCCTCATGGCTGTTGGCCCTAGTCCCCCCTCCCCCCAACAGCTGGGGAGTGAACTTAGGATTCTATCACTGAGCTATATCCTCAGCCCCAGCTCTATTCTATTTCTGTGATTACTGTGATAATGCCAAAGACAATGGGGACATAAATGGGGGTAGGGTGGGGTGGTAGAGGCCCCACCCATGGGGCTTAGTGCCTGGACCAGAGGTTCTCAAGAATGTTGGTACTGTATACCCAGGGACCTCAGGGTCAAAAATGAGGCAGGGCAGATGCTGCCTCAGGGGCTTTTGGAGGCCTGGGAGTAGCAGGTAAGGCTGCAGGAGGGTGACCATTTTGTGAGGCCTGACCCCCGCTCCTGCTGTTCACCTCATCCTTCCAAGGCCATTCTTTCTAGAGTACCCACAGAAGATGAGGATGACAAGAATGGGCCATTAGGCACTGTGTTCATGGCTTTGTTTCAGTGAGGACAAAGCTGTTGGACAGAGCTATTTGCCATTTGGCATCAGCAAGAACCATGCCTATCATCAGGCCACAGGTGCCAGGTATTTGGGAGGTCACCAGAGATATCGTCATATGGACAATGTGGTTCATGAAAGAAATAGCAAGCCTCATAAAGACAGTAAGAACTCCATGCTCTTTGGACCATAGCTGATGATCCTCAAAGGCCTTTGAGCATCAGTTTTCACATGTCTGGGTCAAGGCTGGAGTGAGAGGCCCACCTTCAGTCTTTTGAGTATTTCAAGAAGGGAGTGCCCAGATCATGTGCGTTGGTACAGTGACCAAATGCTGATGCGCTGGTCCTTGGATCCTGCAGCCAACAAGCCATCAGCAGCAAAGGCCACACAGTGGACAGAAGCACTGTGGAAGGCCAACACAGCCAGTGGTTTCATTGTTCTCCAGTGAAATATGCGGATGCGATGGTCCCAACCTGCAGTAGCCAGGATCTTTCGATCTGGCCGGATCATGACATCAGCAATCCCAGGATTGGTGAGTTCATGAGTGTGGCACACCTGTAACAGAGAGGGTGGAGGGGAGAAACGTTAGGCTGTTCCTAAGCCTGTGTTAGACCTGACCATGAATATCCTGCTGTCCTATCCCATAACTGGAACCAGGAGATAGCCATGGGTTCCCTGATAGCTATGTGCTTCCTGTGGCTGAGCTCCTCCTCCTTGTCTTCTTCCTCACAAATTCTTTGCTCTCTGCCAAACCCTTGGCCATGATGGGAGACTTCAGATATCCTTCAGGTTAGCCTGAAACCCTGCAGAGTTGCTTCTTCTCTGGACCTGCTCTGACTCCCACGCTCATCAGCAAGGAGCCCTTGGGTCAGTAGACAGGGAATTTCTAGCCCTCAGCAGACAGTTCAACACAACTTTCCTAGGAACCCTCATAATGGGGAATATACTGTACCCTAAGTAAGAGGCAACATTTCTAACTTGACTGCACCCATGAAGTCAGTATTTTTCCTGGCCACTACCTCAAAGCACAAGGGGAATAAGGAACACAAATTTCATCTTCAGAAACACTAAGAGTTAAGTCAAACACTGAAACATGGAAGGGGTTGGAGAGCTGACAAGAGTAGGAACCAACAGGGTGCAGATAGGGTCCTGTGGTTTCAATATGCTCCCCACCCCCAAAATTCATGTGTTGGAAAAATTAATCCTCAATTCTTATGATGATGGTATTTGGAGGTGGAACTCTTGGGAGTAAATAGGATTAGATGAGGTCACGAGGATGGGGTGTTTGTGATGGTATTAGTGCTTTTATAAGAAAAAAAAAATTGAGCTAGCACACTTGCTCTGTCTCACCATGGGATGCCTTCTGCCATGGCATCATGAAGCAAGAAGGCCCTCACCCAATACTGGCACTATACTCTTGGATTTTCTAACTTCCAGAACTGTGGCTGCTGTTATTTATAAATTATCTAGTCTCAGGTATTTTAGTATAGCAACAGAAAATGGAGCAAGACACAGAATGAAGGAGACAACACCGGGGGTGGCAAGAAAAGCTGTACAGTAGTGCTGCTCACTGGGCTGTGGGTGAAACCTAGTCTCTGGTTGGTTCTGAGAAATGGGCAGGAGGGCACTGGGCAAAACAAGGAATTACATAGGTTCTTTCTACCTGCATGAAGTTGTCAGAATATTGGTCTTCTCTAGAGGCCAAGTGCCCCCATGCTCAGTGCTGGGCAAATGGGACACCTCCTGCTTAACCCCTCCCTGACACATGCCTCCAGAAGTGAGTAAGGAATCAAAGCTGCCTTCATAGTCACAATAGGCTGTGGTTTGAGTATATTTAAGTATGTGCTCACTAAAGGTTTCTGTGTTGCAAGTCTGGTCTTCAGTGTGGTGATGATGGTATGAAATCTTTAAGAGTTGGGGTCTAATGGAAGATCCTTAGCTCAGTTGGGGATGTGCCCTTGTAAGGAATTTTGGAACCCCAGACTCTCTGGCTTCCTGCCTGCTGATGTAATCTATTCCTTTACACATGGTCCCATCCTGATATGATACCATCCACTACTGGGCCCTGCTGAGGACAAACCTTTGGGTCAACCAACCAAACTTGGACTTTGAACCTCCAGAACTTTAATTTAAATAAGTGTCTTTATAAAGTTGGCCTGCTTCAGGTATTTGGTCGTAACGAATGAAAAACTATTACACAGGGCTGGGGATGTGGCTCAAGCGGTAGCGCGCTCGCCTGGCATGCGTGCGGCCCGGGTTCGATCCTCAGCACCACATACAAACAAAGATGTTGTGTCCGCCAAAAACTAAATAAATAAATAAATTCTCTCTCTCTCTTAAAAAAAAAAAGAAAAACTATTACACAGCATTCTTGGTTATGTAGAACTGTACCATGCATTGCAAAGTATCTGGCATCTCTGTTCCCACACTTAATGACAAAGGCACTTTGCCAACACTGTGACACCTAATGATAGCGATTTTTCTCCACTAATTGATTCTCTGTGTGTGGCCTGGCCATGGGTTCCAAGAAGTCTTTGTATCAGACTTTTCTTCTTCTTCTTCTTTATTTTATTTTTATGTGGTGCTGAGGATGGAACCCAGTGCCTCACGCACACTACCACTTGAGCCACATCCCCAGCCCTTTAGCCTTTTTTTCTTAAGAGCCTCCTAATAGGGCCATATTATCTTCAGTTGGAAATCACCATTTCTACAAAGATAGCACAAAGAAAAAAGAGGAGAGAAACAGGAAAAACAAATGACAGGATTTATCAAAGGCTATGGAAAGGGTCACAAAGCAATTTAGCCATAAATTAACAAAACTTCATGAATTAAATTACCTCTACAAATTACTTCTATAAAACAAGCAAAATACAGAGGAGATTAGAAATGGCAGAGATCAAAAAATAAATGGAAGAAAAAACTCAAAGAAATGAAAGGGAAGCAGAAACAGGAGTAGACCCTGAAAAAAGACAGGAAGAACATGGAGGGCAGGAAGGATAAAAAATAAGAAAAATTAGGAAAATAAAAAGTTCAAATGAATAGGAGAGAATACAGGAGGGTAATGAGAGATGGGATATTGGGACTCACTGATTTAGAAAAGCAATATTAATTTCTTGAAATTGAAGTATTACAATTTAAGTCCAAAGAAAGATTATGTAGCAATCAACATTAAGATATGCTCTAGTTGGGGCTGGGGATATGGCTCAAGTGGTAGCGTGCTCGCCTGGCATGCGTGCGGCCCGGGTTCAATCCTCAGCACCACATACAAACAACGATGTTGTGTCCGCCAAAAACTGAAAAATAAATTAAAAAAAAAATTAAAAAAAAGATATGCTCTAGCCAGGTGTGGTGGTACACGTCTTAATCCCAGTGGCTCAGGAGGCTGAAGCAGGAGGATCACAAGTTCAAAGCTAGTCTCAGCAACTTAGAAAGGCACTAAGCCACTCAGCGAGACCTTGTCTCTAAATAAAATATAAAGAAGGGCTGGGGATGTGGCTCAGTGGTAAAGTACCTCTAGGTTCAATCCCTGGTACCAAAAAAAGAAAAAGAAAAGAAAGAAAGAAAAGATATGTTCTAGTAAAATACTAGATCTAATAGCTACTAAAGTCTTTTTGGTAGTCAGGTAAAAAGATTATGAAGATAAAGTGTAGGCTGTCCTCAGAATGTTCTATGGCTATATCTGTGCCAATAGACAGTGGAGTGATGCTCACAGGGGGAGAAAGGAAGTGTGGTCCAAAAATTTTACATCCAGCCAAACTGTCACTCAACTCTTAAAAACAATAGATACACATTTTTGAACATGTAAGAACTCAAAAGAATATTGCTCCCATAAGCTCTTCTGGAAGAACAAGAAGATTAACTTCACTCTTATAAAAGATAACTGGAGGACTACAGCAAATGGTCTGGCAGACAGTGATAAGTCTGCTTACCTGCAGGATTAAGTTTAAAACATGGGGATTATGGTTATAGAACTGGTTATGTAATAAACAGAAATATGGAAGGAGGTAATGAGAGGATGTGGGTTAAGTTCACTTGATTTGCTCATTGTTTGTCATATGCAGTCAAAGACATAATAGTCAACCTCCCACTTGAGAGATTATCTGACATTCCACCATAAATAATGAAAAAAATTAGCATTATTTCCTTCTTTTCCACCTGACATGAACCACCTTATTTTCCTAGTATTCGCTCTATATATTTACATAAGATAATAAAAATTCAAATATACTCAACAGTTTTATGGTCAGATTCCAAAGGTAAATGCAGATCTCTGCTATGTATGAGACTCCAAAGGAGTGACTGGCAGATATACAGGGAAAATGAAAACAAGAAAAATAGGGAGCCCATTTAGTAATAGAAAAAATTTAAATTTAGAGCCAAAGCACTAAGATCATCTATGACACTTAAACAATGATAAAAAGTACGATTCACAATGAAGAACTATGACTGGCAAATAAATAGGCTTATCCTTCATAAAGCAAGGACATAGAAAAGTGGTTATGATACAGTAACTGATACCAGACTAGTCATCTCACTGTAAACAACCATGAAAGTGAATAAAACACACATGGTAACTGTTTACAGACAGACAACAGGCAGAGGAGGTCAGCTGATGAGCAAGCCTCAGTGTTCTTTGCCAAGGGACAATGTTCTGACCACAAATTCCAGGTAGAACACAGCAGTCATGTTAAGCTGGGTGGCAGAGATCAGAATTTGGGAAAGCTAGAGGGCTGAAATCTGAGGGAATGAGGTAGCAAAATGGGAGCTGGGTGTTCTGAGGGTGCTGTGGACTGTGGGGGTTCCTTACAAGTCCTTGAGTCCTTGTTCAAGGACCGGGCAATGCATGGTTCAATGCATACTATGTGGAACTTAACAGAGTGTGGCGGCTACAGGATTAAATGGGATTGGGACCAGCTGAGATGCCAGAATGTCCTCACTTCAGGAATAAGGATCCCACCTAGACATACTGTAACAATGCTAGAAACAAAGCCCTGTCTGAAGGAGAGGTAGATTTGGGAGTTGAGTTCTATTACACTAAAGGAACTTGGGAATAACTTTTCCATAAACCTGCCCTAATAAAGCACAAAACCAAGCATACACAAGTTCAAGGCGAGCAACAATAACTGAAGAGCCTACTAGAAAAAAAGGTAAATATTCTTGAGAGCAAAAAACAGACTTTGGAGTCTCTATAATGTATTATTTATATCAGGCACACAAATAAAAAATTACTAGACATGCAAAGAAATAGGAAATAAGACCCACAGTCAAGATGGCTGGGGAGAACCAACCAGTTAACAGAAACTGATCCCCAAATTGTACAGATAGTGAACATAATAAAGACTAGAAAGAAGCTATTTAAATTTTTTTTAGTGAAGGAAATTGCATTCAAATAATTACAAAAATTATCTGTGTGAGTTAGCAGATAGGAACTATTAGAAGAATAGAAATTATATTAAAAAAGAGAAATAAAGAATTGAACATCTCAATAACTCAAATAAAATATTCATAGAACAAACAGCAGATTGGGAATTATTAGGAAATTATTTTCTATAAAG